CCCCCCCATCTCTGGATCTCCAAGACCAAAAAGACCAGCTAAGACACACGGAACTTGGGTTGCACAAGGTGCACTAAAATACCAGAGGGCAAAGCATCCTCACCTCTGCCATGGGGGAGCTCAGGGGAACTGCAAAAAGGGCACTGGGTATTTTCCAGGACAGTCATCCCAAAATCCAGGCAGCACCACAGTAAGCAATAAGCCAACCTGCCCTCCTTATCCCCATGCTCACGTTGCAACCTGGCAGCACAGAGGGAAGCAGCCTCCTAGGAACTGCTCTCTCCTGCTTCACCCCAGCCACGGCTGAAAATCAGGGCATAGGTGTGCGCAGGATTTCACCGGGAGGCCAGAGGGAGAGGCTGGGCTCACAACTGCCACTTGCCTTTGCAGGGAGAGGACTTTGGTTTTCAGGCCAGCTGTCAGGGCTTGGAGAGCTGGGCTTTCCTCCGCCGGCATGGGCTGGTGCCCCTCCGGTCGGCTCTGGGTTTGCTAAGGGCACAGCAGGCACCGCCGGCAATCGTTCATTCCTGCCTTCCCTTGGCCACACTCCACTCCACAAAATCCCTTAATGAAAACTGTGGTGCCCAAGGGCTTCACAAAAGGCATCCAGGTGTAGCAGCTGTTATTAAACCCTCCAAAAAACCCTGATGCCAGCTCTTCCTTTTAGTGACCCCAATGTATTTATCCTGGGTTTTCAGCGGCTGCTTCCCCGGCTCCTGAGCAGCACAACTTCACAAACAAGGGCCTTTTGATTTCCATTTTGATTTTTTCCTGTTGTTAGAAGTGTTCCCCCACCCCTTCACCTTTCACATAAGGTGTTATTGTATTACTGCTGCAACTGCTATAAAAAAAGCCACCGTGGTGGTGCTACGATGCTCAGGCATTGGAGTGTGTGAAGCACACACCCACCTGGATATTTTCAGAGGGAGTTTAACCCTTCTTTTCCCACGAGCTCCTTCAAATAAGGTGTAGGACAAGGCGGGCTGGTGTAGGGTCTATTCTCTATTTGTTACGCTAACGGCACCCGGGGAGCAGGGAGCTGATGCTCCAGTTTCTGATGGCTGAAGGACCTTCAATGTGTCCCTCTTGGAACCACAGATTAAGAGGTCGCCAAGGTCCCGCTGCCCCTTCTGACCATTTCTGAGCAGTTTTCCCCTTTTTGGTCCAGGACACACTGCATCGAGCAGGTCACGAGTCCAGCTTCAGCACCCAGCCAAGTCTGGTTCACGCATGGGCAAGACGAGCATCCCCAAGCCCCAGGGGAAACACAGACGTTCCCCTCCCCAGCTCTGCCAGTATTTTATGCACGTTTTCAGAGAAAAATATTTTTAGCTGGGGGAGAACAGGCTGTTTTTTTCAGGCAGCGATGATGATTTGGAAACCACAGGTTATAAACAGAGCAGGTTTACAAATGTGACTATTAGTTCCCCAGTGGAAGCTTTAGCATCAGGGAGTTTTAGGTGGGCGTTGATTTCCACCGAGATGAAAAAATCTGGATTTATTGACATAAGAAGAAAACACCAGTTGAACTCAAGACAGTGCCGTCCATTCCTGCACAGGGTCCCAGGAGGCCATTCGCGGCAGCAGCCCCTCATTAGGCTAATTAACACCAGGGAGAGTGTGCCCAGGATATCCCATGGCTCATGGAAACCCCAACACTGCATCACCACCTGCATTAAGCACCTCTCCCATTGGACATATGGCAAAAAATAAGTCCAGAAAGGAAGAGTAATACCCTGTGTCACCCTTGGAGGGACAAGGGCCAGCAAGCGTGATGCTGGGTCTGTCTGGGTCCATCAGGGATAGGATGGGTCCTGCTCACGTGGATATCATCTCTGGTCCATCATCATGGGATGCATCAGCATCCCAAACTGGTCAGCACATCCTGAGGCGAGCACTACCCTACACCTCTGATGCTCACAACATCCCCTCCACCACAGCCACTGCCTCTTGCTAAGTCGCGACAAGATCCCAACGACTATTAATTCTCCCAAGCTCAATAGTCTCTGTCCAGACACTCACATATTAATCAAGTGTAAAGTTTTAGTCTGCAAAGATGACCCTGAACCGGCCGGTTGCCCGCACACATCCCCTGTGCAGACTCCACCACTCGCCTTACGCAACCAATGCAGAGTGAACCGCCAAGTGCAAACCCTCTCCCGCAAGCTGTTTGCAAGTCATTTGCCAGCCAAGGATTATTTACTGAAGAAATTTGCCAATAATTCAGCAGATCAAACAGGCAAGAGTTGCTTGCAAGGGAGGTGTAACCACGGCGCTGAAGAACAGTAGCTTTGCCAGCACCGCACGGCAAAAGCAAGAGCTGAACAGCACAGAGGAGCCCATGACCTGGTCCAGCTGATCCCCCAGTGACCTGATCCTCCCCAAAACCAGTCCAGGATGAAAATCTGCAGCTTGTCTCCTCCACCCATCATACAACAGAATTCACCCCGAAAGCCCAGTGAGCCCATCCCAGCGGGCACTGGCACCACTGGGGCAAAGCCGGCAGGTAATCGGGCATTTCTTGGAGACACTTTCGTCCTGCTGGAGCAAACTTCAGGATACAAGGGGGGTGATGGTGGTGAAGCAGACCCCAGAGGGCTGCGTCCCATAACCAGCAGTGTCAGGGGGACCTGGGCACCTCCCGGCAGGGCAGCTGGCACAGCACTAACAGCCCTTCATGGACAATTGATTCCCTGGCACGGGGCCTGGCGTGGCGCGGCACTGAAAGGAGCTGGCGAGGCTTTTGTGAGTGAGTAATTGCCGAGCGCTGACTCAGCACCAGATCGGCTACAGTCAGCTCGCCCGGAGCTGTGGGGAGGGCAGGGAGAGGTCCACGGCAACGCCCCCCCCCGGCACAGCCCAGTGCTTCCCCTTGGCCCAGGCCCCAAAGGATGCCCAGGCCAGGAGACGGCCGATGGGCGTTTCCCAACCACCCAGCCACTTTCTGCACACTCAGCCCAGCACCACAGCCACACAGTGAGGCCGAGACATCCCCTCTTGTTGCTACCAGAGGTGACACGTGTCCCACACTGCCCCCAGAGATGTGACCAGGGATGTGACCACCTTTGCCTAGCCCAGGAGCTGTGCCCGGCCGCTCTCCCCGCAGCAGCGAGCCTGCCTGGCCACAGAGCCCTCCCCTGAGAGTCACTTTGCAGATGCAGAAGAGCCAGCAGCATCCTGTGTGATGGCTGCACCACCCACAGGCAGCCCATTCGCTGCCCACTGAGAAGCATCACGCCACCACCAGCACACAGAGACACCCTGCCTTCACAGGCAGAGACAGTCCCACTCCCCAGCGAGGTCGTCCAGGTCCGCCTTGGACCAAGGGAGTCAAAATGTTCCCGACCATGTTCTCTTCAAGCCTTCTCTTGAGCACAGTCCCAACTTGCACCTCTTCACGACAAACAAGCAGCACCCATCACCACATCCCTGGCAGTACGAGGCTCAGCGTCGCCTTCCTCCTCCAAACACCTAAACAGGTATCATGTCCCACACGGTGCCACCACTCAGGAGAAGACTGCAAGCCAAGAGACAGGACTGTACAGCAAGCAACTCGGGAGAGACCCCTACTATCTCACCTGGCTCCCATGCCTCAGTTTCCCAGCCAGCCCTGCAGCTGCTCTGCACCCAGCAAAGCTCATGAAGTGCTCAGAGATCCACAGACACCATCTGTTTGTATGCATCAAACCAGCTCCTCTGAATGTGGTGTTTCCATCGGCATGCAAAAAGCAACAGCCACGATCCAGGCACCACTTCCCTGGGGCCCTTGGATGGCTGCAAGCACCCACCTGCCCTCCAACACAGCAAGGTGCTGGGAGGTCACCCTGGGAGGCTTCTGCTCAAGTCAGTTGTCACCGTTGGCTAGCACAAGCCTAAATGCCCCTGTTTGTTCCTATGTCACCAGCACAGCCCATCACACCGCAAGCAGGACTCAAATCTGGGCCATGTTCCCAGCAGATGACACCATCAGTGACACAACCAGCACCCGCGAAGCTCTGTGCACTACCACCCCCAGCATCACCACTGCGTGCTGGGATGCTGAACAAGCATCACCTGGGAATGCAGCCCCACCCAGACCTTGTTCTCAAACCCCCGGCACCGGGCCAAGACTGGAAAGCACTTGGGAAGGCAAGAGGAGAAGAGATTCTCTCCCTCCCCTTGGAGGCTTTTACCAAGACCTCTCCCAAACCATGTCCAGTTGCTCATCAGGTCGTACTCCCACCCCATCCCCACCTCACCCCATGCCCAGATGGATGACAGACACCAGGCCACCAGCTGAGGAAAGCTAGACACGATGCCCTCAGAACCAGCCCTCCTTGCCCGATGGGAAACCTTGTCCCACCGTCAGCTGCCCACAGCAAAGCCAATGCAGGAGCCTCCAGCGCAGGGAACCATCCTCCCCTCCCTCATTGCGATGAAGAAACACCACCGACAACAGCAAACCAGGGTCTTGCCCTGCATCCTGGAGCTCATGTCTCCACCAGGACAAGCCCCCGTGCCCAGCTGCCCAAACCCACCAACGGCCCCGCGCCACCTGACTCACCCACTGAGGACCACGATGAAGTCCATGACATTCCAGCCATTGCGCAGGTACGAGCCCTTGTGGAAAACAAACCCCAGAGCCACGATCTTAATCCCAGCCTCAAAGCAGAAAATCCCGATGAAGTAGGGCTCCGTCTTCTCCTGCCGGAGGGGAACCAGTGACACGGTGAGAGGGGGAGATGGAGACGGGGCAAACACAGCACCAGCCATTCCACATTGACCCAACTCACATCCCATCCCACCTTCCCCAGCCCCATCCTCCCCTTTGGGAGCTTTCCCAGCCCTTCCTCTGCCAGCATCAACCTTGGAAACAAAAAGTGGGGGCTACGACCCACTCAAGTTGCCCAGTCCCCCTTCTCTACACCACTTTTTAAGGGGCTTAAACTTCCTGAACCTTTTCAGGGGGAGATGGAGACGGGGCAAACACAGCACCAGCCATTCCACATTGACCCAACTCACATCCCATCCCACCTTCCCCAGCCCCATCCTCCCCTTTGGGAGCTTTCCCAGCCCTTCCTCTGCCAGCATCAACCTTGGAAACAAAAACTACGACCTACGACCCACTCAAGTTGCCCAGTCCCCCTTCTCTACACTAAGGGGCTTAAACCTTCCTGAACCTTTTCCATGGAGGAGGAGTATGTGACAGCAGCCCAGGAAGACTGGAGGGGCTGGTCCTGGAGGAAACCTCCTGCCCTACCACCCTGAAACCACCAGAAATTGGCTGGTAGGATGGAGTGGCTCCCCTCAGCTGGTCCCCCTGCTCACCCACGGGGCGGAGACGTATGGACACGGGGTACTTACTAATCTCCGTGACATGGGTGTCTTGTCATCCTCAGGGAGGTGCTGCTCGAGAGCCAGCACAATGCAGTTGGCAATGATGGTCGCCAGGATCATGTACTCGAAGGGAGTGGAGGGGAGTTAAGGAGCAGAGAAGAGGTGGATGACATCCCCAACCTGCCAGCCCACCCCTGCCCATGCCTCGTTTCACCTGCTCGTTAGCTGCCACCACCACTTTCCCCGCAGGAACATGCACACTCACAGCCCAGCTTTCAGCTCCTGCTGCTCCTGGGCAGGTGGGTGAAGCCCACCTTGGTGGTGTTTGGAAACGGGAAGTGTGACAGGAACTGAGAGTCCCCAGGACCTTCCTCACTGGACACCTGCTGAGCATCATCACCTCTTTCCCAAGGCAATGGGACATTTAACCAGTGGCCTTTGCTGGGCTCTGAACTCTCTTGGGAGAGAGATGCTGCTTGTGGTGGGAGCCCAGAAGACAGACATAGGTATGAAGGTAGACAACTAGGCTCTGACCAGGTTGGGCTTCATCTGGAAAAGGGCTTGGTGTGGTCCCTGGCTGTGTCAGGGAAGCTCTCCCTGGCACGGCATGCTGATGGCCAGGGCTGGCATGTCCCTGCACACCATGGCCGTGCTGCTTGCCTTCTCCCTTCCAACATGAAGCAGCAAGAGATGGGGTGTCACGGGCTATCAGCAGCCCTGGTCCTAAAGCATCCCTGTGGGAGGGACTATGCACAGCATGAGCAGGACAGGGCATCCCTGGCAGGTCCTGGGGACCCGACCCAGACCAGCCCACCCTGTGCCCCGTGTTGGTAAGGTGGACATGCCCTGGGAACCGTGGGTCCCTTGCCAAGCACCCTGTGGGTGTCAGGTTGAGCCCAGGCAGCACTGGGAGCTGCAGAGCACCAGCTAAGCATTCGCAGCTCAAGACACTGATGATGCCTGGGTCTGAGCTCCAGTTCAGGCAGGGCTGAAACTCCCCACAGAGACATCCCAGCTTGGCCACACTTCAGCAAGACCCCAAGGGGTAGTGGCACCTTATCAACAGGATCTGGTTGGACCCTTACGAGCATCCTAAATCCTACAGCCATGTCTAGAGCTTACACACCCTTCTCCGGGAGCAACCCCGCGCCAGGACAAGTGGCAGCAGATGCTGGGATCTGAGGACCTGAGTGAGTGGGGAGGCAGAGGAAAAGGCATGCTGACACCCAGGAAAGCACCCCAAACTCAGCTCCCTCCTGCCTTTTGATTCACAGGGGCTGCCAGGAGCGAGGCAGGGGTGTGGAGCTTCCTCCTCCTGCCTGGTCCACTGCCAAGCCCTGAAAACAAAGCACTTCCAAGCAACAGGACAGCCACATCTTCCCGACTTCCCATCCATCTTTACCACATCTTTGCAATAAAAGCCCTGTTGTCCTCAATAACAAAATGAGGCAAGACTCATCAGCAGGCAGCACACCCCTTCTCCGCTCCCTCCATGCCAAAAACCCACAGCTATATATCCCCTGGGAGGGAACAGCCACCTTCCCAAGGCTCATGTCTGTGGAAAAGGGATGTGATCCCACCTGGGATGGATTTGCTGATAAAGAAATCATCCACGCTCCTGCTGTACCAAGCCGGCACGGGGAGCAGCGCCCCAGTTAAGCCCTTCCCCACCACACCTGGCCTCTCCAGACCCAGCAGCTTCAGGTTCGCACCGCTCAGGCCAGGAGGTGCCAAATGCCCGTGCCATCACCCCCAGGAAAAGGGACGATTTTCACTTTTGCAACCTTGCCTTTTGGCCGCCGAAGACACTGACTACAGCAACATGCTTTAAACCAGTGGCCCTGAGCCTATGGGCAAGAGAAGACATCCCAGTGCTGGCCACGAGCATGGAAAACTGGAAAACGTGAAGTGACCCCGGCTGCAGCAACCCTGGCAGCAGAGACCCTGTGCACACTGCGGCTCACGGGCAAGTTGGGAGTGGGGCCGGGCATCCGAGCAGGTCCCTGGAGAGCTGGCCAGGAGGAGCAGCCAAGGAGAGCCTGCAGGAGCTGGGATGTATTTAGCCCAGTAGGGAGAAGAGCCAGGAAAGATTCAGCCAAGGCATTTAAAAGGCCACTCAGTGAAATTAATGGTTGCTAAGTTAAAGGCAAACCAAAAGGAAGACCTCTGCAGAGCTCACTGCTGCAGGCTCGGACCTCTGTGCCAGCCCAGCACGAATCACGAGCAGCTTCCTGTGCTTGGTGGGGGAAGGCCAGACCCCAAAAGTTTTCCTCTGAGGCTTAATACAAGTGAGGATTTCATTGCATGGCTCCTGCAAAAGCCACATACTTTCCCTGCTTCCCCTCTCTGGCCGCACACTTCAGCTGATATGCAGACTACGGCGCTTGGCCCCGAGCCACTGGCCTATTTGGGGTCTTTTTGTTTCATTTTCCTGAAAGTCTGCGAGCAATTAGCACAGGCTTAAAAGAAAACAGCATGTTAGTGGGGCGGTGCAGCCAGCTCCCCAGGCACTAGGCACATCTGCACACAGCAGATATGAAGTCTAAGGGAAACAGGGCAATCGCTGCCCTAAGTAGTGACCTAAGCACGAGGTCGCTACCAAAAGTGACTCTCCAAACCCTGCTGGCCCAGTTTTCTGAGGACCCAAGCATGGGTTATCGCATCTGGAGCTGGGTGAGAGCTGCAAGGCATCAACCCCACAGAAACAAGCCCCTGTAGCTCCAGCTGTGCCAGGTTTTGAGAGGCCAAGGGTAAGAAAACCCTCCCCAAGGGACAGCAGGAACATCTGGCTGAACCAGGGGAAATTTTATCCACGCACTTCACTTCTGCTAAGCAAGCATCCTCCCAGCTCGGGGCTGGAGCCCACCAGACGATGCTCTAGCACTCCTTTGTTTCCTCTCTCATTAGGTGTCTAATTACACGACCTTCCAGCCACCCAAAATGCAGAGTAGCACTTGCCTCCCTCCAAGCCCGGTAATGAAAGCCCATCTCCCTCCAGCCTTCTCCTCCTCCTCCGTCTGGCTTCTCCTGGAGGATCATTAGGGAGCCGATAAAAATAGGTTTTCTTATTGATTTATCTCCTTTACCCAATGCTCTCTCCCCTGCACCGTTGAATTGTTTCCTTAGCAACTTGGCCGATCCCAGTGCATGCCACACCTGCAGCTCCACACTTCCCTCCCAGTGCATTTGAGGTGGGGAAGATGCCCCCAGGCCGCATGGACACCACCACCACCACCCCGACCCATGCCCCAGCCCACCTGGAGCAGGCACTGTGAGCTAACCCCATGCCTGGAGCTGGAGCTCCTTGATGGGTCTGGCAGGAGCTGGCAGGGAGAACCAGGGAGATGTCCAGCCACCAGTGGATCCTTGCTTCCAGCTGTGACCTTCCTCTTCTCCTTCCTCCCCAGCCAGGAGCCGAAACCAGCCCACCCAGAACATCTATATCGCTAACGCAGGGAGTGTGCCCAGCTCTAAGCCTTGAAGATGGATTTATGGTGCTGATGGCACATTGATGCAACCTCCCCAAGAGGATGGGTCCGAGATAAATCCCGCCCTGGATGCGGGCAAGGGCTGGGAGCTGTGGAGAGGCCCCCTCCATCTCTCCACTTCAGTGACCATGCCTTCTCCCCGCTCCTGGGCAGGCAGGTGGGGAAGGAGCAGAAGAGCCAGAGGAGTGAGACCACATGGACATCTCCAAAAGGGCTCTTGAAGCCTACCTCAGAGGGGAAGTCTGCCTCAGAGGGCCAGCAAGAAGGGCAGGAACGATTTAACGCCTCACCCTGCCTGCATCACCCAGCCCAGCTCCAACATCTCCTAGAAACTTAAGTCTCCATTTCCTACCACTCCCCCATCTTCCCCTAGGACCTGCTGCACTGAGAGGCTTTCCCTGCTCCCCAGGTGTCAATGAGAGGGAGCTTCAGTTCCTACATCTGTGGACTTATCTTGCTGGTCCCAACCCCACCACTGCTGCCTGTCCCACACAGACATGGCGTGACAGAAAGACCCACCCACCTCTTCAACATCCCCATCCCTAGAACATCCCGACCTCCCCCCTCTCAGCTCCATACCCCAGCAGAAAAGCAAGCACCTCCTCTCCAAGGCTGTTTTCCAAGAGAAACCCAAAATGCCAAATGAAGCTAAGACCATGAGTGGTCCTAATTCAACTCTGGGGTTCTCCAGCCCCACAGCACCTCCCCGGCTTGTCCCTGAAGACACAGGGGATCTTCCCCCAGCAGATAAGGCTATCCAGTTCCCTCAAGCAGTCGTAGAGCTGTGGCCCCTCGTGGCTGTCCCCATCCCTGCATCATGCCACCCAGCACTCCCAGACCATCCATGCTTTGCTGGGGTTGACAAAAAGTGATGTCCAGAGGGACAAGGTGCCAACAGACCCCAAATCCTCCAGCCATGCTTTGGACGTGAGCCAGCTCCTGCGTGCCTGTTACGTGCAGCAAAATAGGCTCAGGAGAGCGACCGTGGGCTCAGGGCTGTGCTCATGTCTCTGTGCAGCTCACAGGGAGCACCCAGGCAAGGTGCTCAGCCTGCCTAAATCTCACTGCACAGACATGCCTCAGCTGGGGAGACTCCACTCAGTATCTGCGGCCACAGACGTCACTGCTTACAACTCCGAAACGTCGTGGTCTGGTCTCCATCAGGGGCTAAACCGAAGGCAGTAGCAGCCAGGAGCCGGTTGGGGCAGAGCTGCCCGCACTGCTGCCACTCCCGTAGGGATGCAGGGCATCTGCCTGCCACGTGCAAAGAGCTCTGTGGAGAAGCATCTTCTCCCCCACCTCGCCCTGCACTTAAGAACTGGAAATCAAATCTCAATCCTCTCCTCTTTTTTTTTTTTTTTTAAACAAAAAAGAACCACATCATGTGATTTTCCTGCCTTAACATCAGTTTTTTAACTTTGGTTGCCACAGCAACAGGATGCAACTTGGCATCACCATGACAACAGCTGCCTCTGTTTAAATTCACCATCTGACAGGCAGCCTCGCTCTCTCCGGCTGTCAAAAAGATGGACCTGCCATTACACCTACTCGCCCCTCCCAAAAAAAAACATTTTAAAAATCTGATGAATGAGTCGGCGCTGGAAGGCGGCAAAGGCGAGAATATGGCGGGAGGTGGGTGGAAGGAAAGGGGGGGGGGGGGGGGGGTGGGGGAGATGTTCTTGGGTAGCGCAAGGAGGGAGCTGCCCAAGGACAGCATGACATGGCGCAGCTCTTCCTGCGGGGATGCAAGACCTGCCGAAATCTTGGCTGGGCAAAAGGAAAGGTGCAGGAGATGCTTGCCCAGGTGTGGCATAACACTACCAGGGTTCCCGAGGGGTAGTGCCCACACAGCATCAGAGATGCACGGGTCAAAGTGGGAGTCATCACGAGCAAAATGGTTCAGGCATACATGGGAGTGCATCCCACAGAGCAAAATCCCCGTGTGTGTTGGACCAGGGATGTGCACTGCGGCTTTGCAGACACCCCAGCTGCTCTTGGCCAGCCCAACACCAGATTTGGTCCTCAAAGGGGCTGAGATAGGAGAAAGCCCTCGCTGCAGGGAACAGCAAGGTCCCCAGAGGATTGACTGATGGACATCGCTCTCCCCTGCCAAACTGGGGGGACAGGTACAGTGAACGTTGTGCGCCTGCAGCCAGAGGCTGTCCTTGGGGACAGAGCCAGAGCCACACGATGTCATCTGGCCTTTCTGGGGCAGGAGAGGGATCTTATCCAGGTCAAATGTGATTAAGTGGATGAAGAACCGAACAGATATAGATGAGCTGCAGCCCATCTCATGTGCTAACTGAATTGCAGCTTTCCAGGCAGCCAAACAAATGAAATCAGGGCTAAAGGCCTGGCCATCAGCAGAAGGAGAGCAGGAAGGACGAGGTTTTGTTTCCAAAGGAGTAGATGTTCCTACAGCCAAACCAGCAGCTGCCTCATGTTTTGAGCAGGACCAGTAAAAAGAGCAGCTCCAGTGGAGGTAACGCACTGGGCTTTCCAGCGGCAAAGACTCATCTCCCCACAGAGCAGCATCCCAATCCCAGTTGCTCGTATTTCTCCTCCTTCCCCTCCATGCATCATCCCTATTTACACTGGGAAGCCAAACTGCAGAGGCTGCTGGTTATAATTATACAGTTACCCAGCAGATATACAGGCCTGAATCACCAGTTATTTTTAGCCCTATTACCTAGTCAACTGGAGCTGGATGAAGAAGAGCCTCCACCCCTTCCCGCACTCCACCCCAGCCCCCTTGGCTTTCCCTAGTGCTGTGCCTGCTCTGACCCGCAGTGCCGGGACCAGTCCATCTCCCTCCTGAGGCCAGCAGCTGTCATTGACTGTGGCTGAAATCCAACACTCACCTCCCCAAACCACCCTCGCCCAGGAGCGATGCCATGGGCTGCAGGCCAGGTAGCTGAGATGCTCACACTTTTTCCCTGGCCCTACCGAAAGGCACCAGCTGCGTGTGCCAGGCTACAACTACAAGGATGGGAACAACTTGCCTGGCCAACATCACCAAGCTCATCACCAAAAAGCCTTGTCCATCCCCAAGCCCTCGAGAGCTCAAGCAGTGCAGAGGAGCTCTGGGGTGGATGAGTTTCTTGGAAAGAGAGGACAGCTAGGCGGGGGATGGCCAGGGATGCTCAGCTCCCACACCTGGAGCACACCCATTCCCAGCACTCACATGGGGATAAGTCACTTAATTCTGGAAAAAAGTATAAAATGAGCCCATCTCCCTCATGCATTGTAAATTCCAGGAAAGAATAATGCTAGGGAGTTTTTACCGCGTGGTGGTGAAGCTCTAGTCTCTAGGAGACAGCGGCTGCCTGGAGATGAGACATTGCGCCACACCAGCACGGGACCCTGGCCCACGTCGGGCCAGCGGCAGCACCCCAGCTCCTTCTTGCTTTAAATGAAAGCCGAAGGGGCAATAGCCCTCCCACACCGTGCTGAAAAAGCACAGGAATTTGGCATATTCTGGAAAAGCAGGCAGGCCAGCCTGGCCGCTGCCCTGCAGGGCTCTGAGCTGAGCTGCCACGTCCCCATCCTGGTTACAGCACTGATGCTCCTGCAGCCGCCCACCCAGGGGGTGCTGCCAGCAGGGACAGATTTAGGGATGCCATGGGGAATTCAGCCCCCCTGAGCTGCCCCTTCACCCCCAGGTCACCCCCCCCAAGCCTGGGGGCTTTGCAGCTCCCCAGCCAGGACCAGCTCCTGCCTGGCAGAGGCTTGACCTGACATATGGGAGCTGCAAAGGGTGTTGCTCAGCAGGGTTGGTGACCTGTCCTGCATCCCTGCATCTCACCAGGGGGTTTCCCCAAGGTACCTGTTGCACCAGACCAAGGCATTGCTATTTGGCACCGGGGCAAGCTCTCCCACGCCCGCTGGAGAAGCCAGCAAGTTAACCAACAAGTTGCAAGGAAAGAAAGCAGCAGCAGCAAGAGCTGCATGTAATCACCACTGCAGAAAACAGCACAGGGAGGGTCCTAAAGCCAAAGCATGGCCACACTGAAGTTTTCAGGCTCTGGTCCTCAGTGGGGGGCAAAGCCCAGGAGGGGTCTCGGGAGGCAGCAGACCACCAAGCCCAGGCTGATGGGTAGCTGCGTGCTGCGGTGCTGGGCACTAGCCAGGGCACCCGGGGGCACCTGCAGGGAGGGTGGGAGGGGAGAGAAGCACGCAGAGTTGTATGAAGGGATGGAGGAGCAGGGGAAGGAGCAGGGAGATCTGCGCTCTCCACCAAGCCCTAGGAGGGGCGTCCCTGGGATAAACCGCGGTCCCCTGCGCCAGACCCCCAAGGGGCCATGGGGCACAGCCAGAGGTTTTCAGCATCTTCCCTTCTGCCGCAGGGAGGGGGCAGCCAGTTCCCAGAGCTGCCGTGGGGAGCTGGGGGCTGCAGGGCGCAGATGGCCATGCCCTGCCAGGTGTGATCAGCAGCAGAGGTGGCACACGCTGGCAGGTACAGGAGGGGACAAAGCCTCCACCCAGCAGGCTCCTGGGGGCCCATCCCCAATAGGATGGGTGGCTCCAGGTGGGGTGACAAAACTCCAGCAAGATGTCGAGGCACAGAGGAAAGGCCGCAATGCCCCCCCAGCCACATGCACGCAAGGCACCCTAAAGCATGCAGGGTTAAACCATGATCAGAGACACCCCCCTTGCCAGCATGGGGGCCTTCCAAATCCAAGCCTGAGGAGGGGCCGGGGGGGTCCCTGTGGGCAGAAGGGGCTCAGCTCGCCACCAGGCACCAAGCAGAGCACAGGAGGGGAAGTAGCAACAGGGCGAGGAGAGCATCCCCAGGGGACAGGGCACCCCTCTCCACAAGCCAAAGCAGAGCAGAAGGCAGGCGCTTACCTGCCGGCTAGTACCACACACACGTGTCCTGGGCGGCCACCAAGGCAAATCCAGGGAGCAAGGGGGGGGCTCACGGGGGGGCGCAGAAAGGATATGGCCAGTCGATGAGCTTCTTAGCATATTTCCTGACTATGTTCTCTTCCCCAAAGAGGAAGAGCGATCTGTTGACGGTGAAGCAGTTCTGCCGGACGGGGATGGGGTTGTACAGAGCCATAGTCCGGGCTCTCTGCGCTTTGGTTTGCTTGAAGGCTCCCGGGGTCCCTCCCGCAGGAGCAGGAGGTCCTTGCCGGCTCCGGTTCTGGTCGGACCCCCCGTCTCCGGAGCCCAGCCTGCCGGCCACCGCCTCCCCAAAGCGAGCCATCCTGGAAGAAAACACACAGGTGAGCCAAAGCAGCACCACTGAGGCAGCGGGGTGGGGGGGGAGAAGAGGGAGGGGGTTTGCGGGGCACAGTGCCAACCACAGCCCCCTCCTCCTCTCCGGGTGATGCTCAGCTCCGTCTCTACACCATCCCTCCAGGGGAGCAGGGACCCGTGTGGAGAAGGAGAGGTGGCAACGCGCGGCACCAGCTCAGCGCCTCCGGCGCAGCATGGTGGGCAACCAGCTGCCTCCGGCCCCCCCACCCCCCCCCCCCCCCCC